GTGGCCGGGCGGGCGTCCGCGCTACCCGGCCGGCCCGGGCCCCGGCCGCGGCCCCCAGCCGCGGCCCCCGGCTGTCAGCGGGCGGGGACCGCGCCGCCGCTCCCCCGCCAGGCGTGGGGCGCCCAGCGCGGACCCCGGGGTTTGTTTACGTCCGGGCGGGTGCCCGGGGGCCACCCGCAGACCCCGCAGCCGCCCCGCTCTTTTGTGTGCCTGCAGGAGCGGCGCGGAGCCGGCCCCTCCGCGGCCGGGAACCCCGGTAGGGGCGCTTGGGGAAACTTGCTGGGGGCGGCGGGCGCCGCGCACGCGGAGCCCGGGTGTCGGGTGTCCCGGGGGCGCGGGTACGGGCGCCGGAGGAGGGCTGCAACTTTCCCCGAACGCAGGCCCGGCTCTGCGCCCGGTTGCGCGGTCTGTCCGGGCCGGGGGCGCTTGCTCCCCGGCGCCTGTCCGGGCGGTCCTCTCCCCGCGCCCAGGGGCTCCCGCGGACCCCAGTAAATATCCCACCCCCCCGCTTCTCTCTGATCCTCTCCTCCGAGGCCCTGTCCTCCCAGCAGGGCCCGCGGGGGGCAATGGACCGCGCGGCGGGTCCGCTTCGAAATGCCTACTCCGATCGGGTTCTCGAAACCAAAGCCCCCGGGGCCTCGCTGGACTGTGGTATACCGGGCCGTGGACCACGCGCCGAGCCCCGGGCGCCGAGGGGGCATCGTGCTGGGGCTCCACATCCGGCGCCCGAGCCGCAGGCGTGCCCAGGGGGCGCGTTCCTGCCTGCCAACCCCCACCCAGGGGAGCGGCGCGCCCTCGGGGTCCGCCCGGGACCTGCCAGCTCCGCGCTCGCGGCGCCGGGACGGCCCCGGGACTCTGCCAGGTGGATGTTGTGCGTAGCCGGAGCCAAGTTGAAGGTGAGCGGCGTGTGGGCCAGAAACTCCGCGAGCGCTGGCGGTGGTGTTGGGGGGGTGTCTGCGTCTTAGAGACCCTGGGCGGCCTGGCGCTCCGGGGCGGGGGTGTGGGCCCTCGGCGTCCCGGGGGGGACGGCTGTTGCTCCCAACTCAAAGGTGTGCTTGAAGGTAAACTTGGCCTAACTTTCCTAACCCGGAGGACTGGTGATAGTGACCTACAGTACTTTTAGGAGGAAAGCAAATGAACTCCAGATGCGGGCTTGTATGAAGTGAAGCGGATTGGATTAAAATGTATATAAACGGAGTATGACAACTTTAATTGTGTGTGCTTGTTTTCTGCTCTGCCTACGTAAGAGCGGTAAAGCAGACTCATAGTCGTTATGAAATTTCTTCAGATTTCTCACTTAACTAGCAAGAAGACTATGTGAAATATGTATTTCCGATAAGATTAAAACTTAAAGGAGTTCGTGTTTATTGACTAAAATAGATTACTCCAAAGTGTCTATTGTGTAAATTAGATTCCTGAATGTAATGAACACAGCTGAATGGCATTTTTGATAAATTGGTCTACCCTGTTTTAGTAAAAATAGCTCCCTTTTACCATAATTTAATTCCTGAGCTTACTGTAAAACCCGTTGTGGAGTTTTAGGAGACAAACCTTAATATTTTTTTTTTCTTGTCTTCCTAAACGTGACATTCTAGCTTAACACCAATGCGATTTCTTCTTTAAGCATCCTGGCAAAACTGCCTGGGAGGTGGATTTGGTTTCTAGGGAGTTATTATATGAACTCGTTGACCCCGTTCCCCCCCACCTTGGTGATTAGCTAGTTCTTCAGGGTAGCATGGTTAACTGTGTAACTTTACTGAAAAGTTTCCCTATCAGTTCATGTGAATGCACTTTCAGATGTTCATCTTGAATCTTAAAAATTCTTTGAGCATCGTTTTTTTTACTGAGCAGCCATTGGCTTTTGGTGATAGATAAGGATTTGGCCTTCGATGATTTCCTATTGCCGCTTCATCCCTGTTTGAAAACCTTCAGTTGCCTGTGGAACGCCCAAGTTCCAGGAGAAGGCTAAACTAGTTCTTTCTCTGGGCCCTGAAGAGGCCTTTTGAAATGATATCTAGTTTAGCGTCACCTCTATTCTCAGACAGTAAGTGAGCCAGTGGGACTGCAGTTTGAGAAGAGAGAATTCATTAGTTTCAGACTCTTCTCATCTTTCCAGAGCCCCTTACACCGAGATCGGGTTGCCTGCAGAGCCCAGCGAGGGTTGTGGTAAAGAGGCTGGGTCTCGGAGGGTCCAGGTGAGTTGAGGCAATTGTGCCCCTGGTCACAATGCGGGGAGCCCCTGGCCACAATGCGGGGAGCCGGGGCAGAGTTCCGGGCCCTCTGCTCGGTCTGACTTGAAGCTGCCTTGGGCTGTGCAGTGAGTGCCCAGGAAGAGAGTTTCTGAAGACTGAGCTCTATTTTGTTTCCTTTTTAGTCCCAAAGTCTTGTTGGTATGGGAATTTCAGTGATCTGGCCTTGTTAAGACTAGTTGGACAAGTTTTTATCCTATCCCAGACTTGTAAAAACCAGGATTTTTTTTTTTTAATAAGAAAACCACTATTGTATAAATTTGTCTTTTAAATACACGTTTGGAAAGAGGACACTTTCTAAAATGAGCTCATGTAATTCTGTATGTTAGGGTAGCTTTTTGCCAGTGCCTGGCTAGGGCGTTCGTTATTCCTCCGTGGTGACTAGCCTTTCCCTTTAAGGAACCTCTGCAAAAGTAACCTTTAAATGTTTTCCTCTTTTTCAAAATAAGAAAACAATTTCATTTTTGCTGCAAGTCCATTTTCTGGTTGCTTTTATTTTGTTTTCTCCTGTTAAGGAAGTGTGTATGTTACCAGCCCTCCAGAACTCTTCCCTCTAGGAAGTATATTATTTTGATTAAAATATGTATCTCATCTAGGACCCTTTATAAAATAATGAGTAAACCAATGGAGGGGTTCCACACAACTGCTGTTTTTGTTTTCTTGGTTCTCTTAATATCATTGTCTTTGAGATTGAGTGTGGGAAGGGGGTCATTATCAGTTGATTAAAGTTTTTTTTTTTTCTTTTTCTTTTATACAAAACTATGTGTAGGGTTTTTTTTTGGGTTTTTGTTTTGCCTTTTTTTTTTTTTTTTAAAGGTGTAAGTCAGTGAAGGGGTTGAGTTACGCAGCACCTCCTGGGCAGTTGGGTCCATAGAGGCCCTCTTCTGCTTCCCCAATTTCACCCATCTCCTGCCAGTAGTTAGTGACATGAAACGGACAGATTGCTAGTCCCCTCAGGAATGACTCTCTCCTAATCCACTGAGCTAACCTTAAAATTAAAAATACTGTCTGGTGAGCTGATGGAGCCCAAGACCTTTAGTGGCTGTTGAAGAAGTTCTCTGCCCTGTTGTATGCAATTCAGACGAACCCACTAGGGTTCATGCGGGGCCGGGGGGGTGGGTGGTGTGGAGGGGGGGATGTCCCTGTGCAGAAGCACCAGGCTGTGCTTGGAGACCCTCCACTCCGAGTCTACCTGGAGCAGTCAGCAGTCTAAACTGCTCCTGAGGCTGTGCTCATATTCTGTGTCTTAGGAGAGAAAACAGGGCTCCAAGTAGAAAATCCATGTGCCTTTCAGCTCCTTTATAAAAGCACAAGGAACATCCTCAGTGAAAGGAAGGAAGGACAAATTTGTTAGAGGAAAAGTTGTACATTTTTAAAAAGAGAAATTCATCGTGTGAAAAATCCTGCAGAGCTAAGCCAGATTCCTACCTGTGCTTCCGTCTTTTTCAGGTCACACGTTTGGCTTCATGTAAGTGTCACATATTTAAGACAGGTATATCTGATGGACTGTAACATAAATGCTGACTAAAAGTTACTATAAACATTAAATATACAGGATCATATATTTTTAGAAATTATTTAAAAACCTATTTAACATATTATACATACATTATATATATATAGTAGCTTTCCCTATGAAAGTTCTGATTTTTACAAGTAATTGTCAAAGATAGAAATTCGTGTATTTCATCCTGTTGTTTTGTCTGAAGCTCTGCATTATGGCTGCAGAGAGATAGTTTTGGTTTCAGCTGAAATTCCCCTGCCTCTGATTGTCTAAACCAGACCCTTAATCTTATTTTAACATACTTAAAATGTTCAGAAAACCCGGAAGAATTGTTTTGTATAAGTAGCAAGTGAATGTGGTTTAAACACTCAAGCAGTTCTGGTATCTAATTGGAAACAGGTGGAATTCTTGGAATCCTGTGTTTGAATCTTATTATAGCAGAGCACAGAGACACTCCTTACTTATGGCCATTCATTTTGTTGAAGCTGTTTGAAATGGGGCTCTGTGACCTCTCCCTGTGCCCCACTGCTGTTTACCTGATGTTCAGCTGTGCTGGGCGTTTTAGGGACGGGATACCTGTGTGTGCTTGGACACCCAAGAGAACTGTGCATGTGTGGATCACGGAGTGAAAGGGGAACTTTAATGGCATAATTAGACGAGCGATTTAATATCTGTATTATATAACTAATAGAGCAAAGAAATTTGTGATTTCTGATTTAATAAGCATTTGTTGACATGAGCATTTGGGTACCTTTTCTTATACCCTGATAAACATTTCAAATTCAGAAAGAAATTACTTTCCCTAAGTACATTTAGAGATGTAACCTTAAATAGCAACCAAACCAGACCAAACCAAACACCAGGTTAGGAGGATATTTCAGTAAAATGTTCACGGTGGGGCCCTCTGAATTATCTCAGTCATTCTTCCTATTCTACTTTTCAAAGCCAGCTAATAGCCTTGGTTTTGCTTTATGTTTAAGAACCAAGTTTCGGTTGGTGTTTAGGTGCTGATTTGTGTCGAGCTGTCGGTTCTCACAGTCTTGGATTTGCTGAGCTGTAATCAGTCCTGCTTTTCGGCTCTCCTCTGAGAACGCTGGTAGAGGAGAACGGTCTTTGGCTGGGCAGGAGGTGTTCCTGCAGGGACTTACCTGGGATTGACGGGGTACCTGTGGCATAGCCTTCATTTGTACCATGGCTTGAAGCTGCTTTGAAGCACCTGGGCTAAGCACCTGGGATAATGTACCTGTGACTTAAAAAGTCTGTGCGCTACCCTGTTCATATAATGTGACATAGTTTGAAGGCGAACAGCTCTTCCTGAAAGACGTCTGATTTGTTGCAAACCCCATCAAGAACCTTTCCTTTGAAAAGTAAACAACTTTCTAATAAAAATAATTCTAATTCTTGCTGTAATTAAATTCTGATACGATGATGTTAGTGTGCAAAATAAATGTTGTCAGTTTCTTCATTTGAATCTGAAGGCCTTTCCTTAGGCAGGAGGCCCTGGGCAGGCAGCAGAATTTTTGTGTTTATTAGAGCCCTGGGCCTGGGGCAGCCGGGGAAGTTCTTCAAATGTATGATTGGTGGGATCCCTACGCAGAGGTTCCCCCCCCCCCCCCCCCGCCCCATTCTCAGGAACACCATGGGACAGGTGACCGGAAAGGAGCGGGGTTGGGAGTGTTCAGTCCTTCCAAGAATTTATCCAACACTGCAGAGCCACTGGAAGAATAGGTAGGAGGTGCACGTGAAACTGACTAGATTCTGCTTCCTTCTTTGAGGCACTTGTGAAGTTGGGAACACCAGCTATGTGGTCCACACCTTTTATAAAACACAAGAGGCCACAGCAGGGCCTACCCAGTCTTGCTTGTGGCCGACTCACTCAGCTGACAGTTGAAATCCTGGATGCTTTTGACTGTGATTTGTGAAGTTAATGTCGGGAGAAATTACCAGAACTCTCTCTGAAGCTTGTGCTCTCTTAGCATTACCCTGGGTATACCAGCCTGCGGCCGTTTTCTTAGACATCTTTCTCTTTGACTGTGTTTATCAAATAAGTTAAAGGAGTTAACATTTCTTTAAAAAGTTATGCATAGTTGTGTGGTGTCTTGAGTTTGGTTAAGGGAAAAACATATTGACAAATTAGCTCTTT